TGGTTTAATTTGCAGGCATTTAATTGCAGCCGCAAGAATCACTTCTGACCTCAAACTGAAATGACAGTCTAAGGCCATAGTACTGAAGAGCCGAATCAGATGCAGAAGGGAACAGCAATACAGTAGCAAATCAAGTGTGGATCTGAAACTAAGAAACCTACTTATAAAATATCTATAAAACAGTTATTAACAATAAAATTGGTTTTGATTACATAGCTTTTTTTAACCTTTTAAAAGCATGACAAAATCAGCAGAGAGCAAGAGCATGCATGTGTGTGTCTGTTAGAAAGGGTTTCTTTATAATTACAAGCCCTGTAATCAGTATAGCTCTTGGCACTAGAATATTTGGGGAAAAAACCCCACATCTAAAATATGATTGGTCTTTCTCACATTTTTTTACTAGTCTCTGCCTTTGTTTGCCTTGCTTAGGAAAACCAGCTGGTATTAATTGCACTTCGTACACCACCACCATGAACAGCAGCCAGATATCAGAAAATAAGGCCTAATCACAGGAATCCACTCAATTGTTTTAAAAAAAAAAAAAAAGAAAACCAACAACAAAAAACCAAACCGAAAAAACAAAAAACAATTACTGCTCAGTGTTCGGAAAAAGCAGTAAAATGAGAGCAATCAAAAGAAAAGGCAGGAAGGAGGCTGGTGCATGGAGAATGTGATAAAAATAAACTACAATCACAGAAGGAGAAACAGAAATCTAGGTTACTTAACGGTAATCAGACTCCTCTAAACATATTGTCTGCCACAAGCGAAGCTGGGAGATGTCACACGCTCGTGCGGAGCGGGTAGCCCAGGTCTCGGCACGTGCCCAGCGGCAGAGACGGTTCAGAAGTGTCACTTAAGGAATTAGAGATGGAAGAGATCTGTTACCTCAGCCTTTTCACCTCTTTTCTCACACTCAGCCTTAAAATTATCCCTTCTGATGCCTTTGGTAGCCTTAACTTCAAGTGATTGCTTCACTTGAGTACTGCACGGCAGAAGAGATAAAATTTGGGACCTGGGATAGCTTTCCTTGCCTGAAGCTACGCTGTCAATTGTGTTGAGCTAGGAGTAGGTGGAAAAAAGTCTATTGGGAGAAAAAAATACTGAAAAATATTGAAAAAAAAAAAAGAATATTGATTCCTCAAAACATTCATCCCAAAAGGCTGCAAATCAGGCATCTCAGATGTAGCAGTGGATCTAAAAGAGAAGCATCGCCTCTCTCTGACAGCAATTCCTCTCTCTCTAAAATGAGAGACGAATCAGACTATTTGCAAAGATTTGCTAAGACTTCTAGTTTAATTGCAAGAAGCATAAAGCCAAAATCTGCTCTTCTGTACGTGTGAGAAAGCAATTTGTTTGTCCCTCTTGTTAGATAAAGACACGGAGGGTGAAGACGATGGGAAGCACAATCACAAGTCAACTGATCTGTCATTTCATGAGCCTTCTCCCCGCGTCGCTTGCCAACTGCAAACATGGAAGGGGCTCGCTTTAATTAATACCGGGTCCCAGCAGACCACTGGAGGCGGTGGCACTTGTTTTCAGGTCATCTGGTCCTAATAGGCTCACACTGGGAGGTGATTTGTTGCTAACTGACAGCAAAAATCAGTTAATGAGGGCTGAGGCCTTACAATCCAGTGTAATGAACCTCAGGGCTATTTCTATATTATCTGCCATAATCATTTAAAAGAAAAAACCAAACCAAAACAAGAAAACCGAAACTGTTCGAGGAGATGCTGGTTATGAACACAGATATTTACAATATAAAAATCCTTTCCTGCTCTGCAGGCTTTTCTCTGGGCTGCTCTGCACCAGGAAATGAGCACGCAATAAGCGGTGCTGTGGATTATCAGGACACAAGCTATTCTGTGTTAACACACATGCTGGTAGTATCCCCAGTGGCCCATCTATATGGGAACATCGGTGCACAGCGACTTTATCTCGTTTTTGCACACCCTATGTGCCATAGGATGCTCCACTTTGGAAGCAGACCTCCTTCCAACATCGGGAAGGAGAGAGTATCCATGAAGGCTGCTGATCTTCCCTGCTTCCCCAACTACAGCGATGGATCTGAGGAACGTTCCTGCCTCCCCATAGCAACATTCTGACCCTCAGCACCAGAGCCACAAAACCACTGCTATTGCAGAGCTCATGGTACTCTTCACACACATCTTCCCTGCTTCCCCAACTACAGCGATGGATCTGAGGAACGTTCCTGCCTCCCCATAGCAACATTCTGACCCTCAGCACCCGAGCCACAAAACCACTGCTATTGCAGAACTCATGGTAATCTTCAGAACTCATGGTAATCTTCACACACGCTAAGGTCATCCCCGTGGAAGCCCTGTCTGGCGGGGTCGTTGTGGGACTCACACAAGAAGACAGCAACACCCTCTTGGCATCTGCACCGCTGCAGAAAGACTTCCTCCTGCACAAGCTTGAAATTCTCTAAGTACAGAACACCACAGCATCATCTTTCCTCATGGTGCTTTTAAAACTGTCCCCGTGATGGGTGGCCGAGGTGTGCAAGATAACCAGGTACTGGGGCTCCAGCTGGAGGTGCACCTGCAAGTTACGTGGACAAATAAATCCCAGCACTGTTTCCATTTCTGCATTTATTCAAAGCTTGTTGCTCTGTACAGACCATCAGCTCCTTCACCACCAGGGTGTAAATGATACAACTAATGGAGGTACAAACCACCACAGGACAAAGAGCTGATCTACCATCAGCAGACTGATGAGCCACCCACGTCACCAATGGTGACAGCCACCCTGCAGTAACAGCAGGCCACTGCTGGTTTGCTGCAATTTCTTTCACCTACAAGTCTTGGTGTAGTTTTTCACACTGCTTCAGAGAAAAAGTGGTTCTCTCAACACCACTGATGGTCACTTCTGCAGTCTGAACCTATCTCTCTGCCTAGGAGTCAGCCTAGGAGGAATCAGAGATTTTTAATGACCTGCATCAGCTGTCCCAACACGGACATCTCCATTCGCTGCCCAACTGGTTTCCTTACCAAAGCCTGTCAGCTTCTCAGGGTGACAAAACTCTTCACTTCTGCAGTCTGAACCTATCTCTCTGCCTAGGAGTCAGCCTAGGAGGAATCAGAGATTTTTAATGACCTGCATCAGCTGTCCCAACACGGACATCTCCATTCGCTGCCCAACTGGTTTCCTTACCAAAGCCTGTCAGCTTCTCAGGGTGACAAAACTCTGCCAACATCACTTCTCAGTGTCTCCTGCCTCTATCTGCCCCTGTAGCCAAAATGGAGAGCAACTGCCAACATCACTTCTCAGTGTCTCCTGCCCTCTATCTGCCCCTGTTGCCAAAATGGAGAGGAGCATTAATGCCAACAATGTGGAACCAGTCATCATCCCTCTGCTGCAGCACACTGGGGGTTGGAAGGCAGGTTGTGAGTGGCAGCAGCACATCAAGCTGGAGAGCTTTGCTTTATTAATTCACAAGGTGGAAAAAATTCTGACCTAAGGAGATCAAGCTGGAGAGCTTTGCTTTATTAATTCTGACCTAAGAAAGATAGTCAAGCTCTCCTATGCTACTCTGGAAAACAGGGGACAGAGAATGGCTGCTAACCGAAGCGTTGAGGTTGGTGGGGCAGGGTCTCAGATTGTACTTCAGCTGCAAAAGCGTGGAGCCTGGTGTGGACACATTTTCATGGGGTTATGAAGCACAGGAAGTCACACCAACATAAGGCTGGTTGTGCACAGTCTGGGTTAATTCTGCAGCGAGGGGATAACAGAGGAGCAGTGCAGCAACCAGTGAGCAAGCCAAGGCAGCACTACGGAAAACTATCAAACAGAACCATACCCAATAAAACAGAGAGTTACCACTCAAAACTGCAGGGCACTTCACCAGCTCTATGCCCTTTGCTAGTCCTGGTGCAAAGCTGTCTAGCAGCTGCAGAACACAGAGATATGCCTTCTGCAAAGTTTCTGCTGTCCACTGTGGACACAATGTGCCAAACCACTCACTGCCAGTTCCCATCTCAGCTCTAACAATCTGCAGCCTGGTCTAGACAAACATTTGACCTTTCAAACAAATCTAAACAAGCCCATGCAGCTTCTTCCCCCAAGGTGAATTGGGGAACCTAGTGCCACGAGCAGGCTGAGCGCTGACCTCTTCCCATAGCACAATCTATTTGCAGAAAAATTGCCTGGAAAAAGATGTCTGTGGCTTGAGAAAAAGGAAAAAAATCTTGGCCAGAGGGAAAAAAATATACAAACTGCCATGGAATCTTTAATGTTCCAGTAGAAAAGGTAAAACCATAGGTTTTAGAGGCTTATTTGAAAATCCAATATAAGAAATTACTTCCATAAGTTGCTTCTGAAAAATGTACCTGCCTCCCTGGGAATTAGCTGCCCCTGCTAAAGATGTCAACTTGTGCTTCTGGGGTATCTGAGTATTAAAAGCCTGAGGACTGCACCACAAGACCATGACTTTAGCAACGTTACAAGCTCCTCTCTTATTACTTCAGTTAGGACTGTAACACCATTTCTAGCTTGAACGCTGTCCACAGGTGAAAGATGTCATTCTGAACGCTGTGGTTCTTTCAGTTCCAGGAGCTGACCCACCAAGGCAGTATCTCCAAAAGCCTCACTCTGTTCAGCATGTCAGCTGTCACACTATCACTCTGCAGCTCCAAAGTTGCTCTTTTAACTTGGACTAGGCTATTTCACCACGAGTTAACGCACGTGTGGATAATCTGAGTTCACCCAGCAGCAAAGGCACAGTGCAGAGACACAGGCAGTGCATGGTGCAGGACATGCTGGAAGCCACCAGCAGTAGAAGTCTCCTTCTGTTGAAAAGTTTGGGCATGCATGGACAGAGACACCTCATGGTTAAAATATTTTTTGGTTATGTAGACTGAATTCTGTCAATTAAAAGATAAACATGCTTGGCAATTCAAACAAATATCTCAAAAGCACTGCAGTACTACTGTAAGGGAGCAGTTACTTAGTAGTGAAATATATAGATATAAAGCGTTACCCACTGCTATTGAGACAGCACTTATGACAGCTCCCAAGTAGCCCTGGATGAACTTGGATGTCGGAGAAGGCTTTGGAAAGAAAAACAAAACATATTTTCAATAAACAAATTTCTAGTTATTAAAATGCAACCAAGCTTTTTTTGTTTGTTTTCTTTTTGTTTTATTTGTTTTAAACCCGAGACAGGTTTAATTTTGTCATATTGTTCTGTGACACATGGTCTGTCATCTAGCAGCGGCAAAAGCAAGGAAAATTGTAGCCTCATGAGCAAGGTTAAAGGGAATGGAAAATTAATTGGCATCAGAAAATTATAATAATAGCAGCTTAAAGGAAGTATGTGAATGAAATTCAGCAAATGGTACAAAATTAGCATTCTTATACACTAGTGATGAACCCCAAACTCTCCACATTAAATATTTGTCTTTGAAATGTTATCTCAATGAGCTGGATGTTTTCCAACTCAGCCTCCCGTCTTGAGCTTCCCACATCCTGACATGGGATGAATGAAGGCTAAAGCAATGGAGGAGAGCGGGAGCAGCTCCACCATTTCCCAGCACCATTGCTGGTAGCGCACATAAAGTCCTCAGGAGATGGCAGCGTGATCACAGAGCCACCTTCTGCTATCCAAAACCCCAGTTTTGCTTTGTGCTCATTTACTTAGCAAATTCAACCATTTCATACCAGTTACAACTATATACTGGTTCAGCTCAGAAGCACTGAGCGTTACTTGTGCGCCTCAAGTGATTTCGAGATCCTCATGCCATTCACAGCTGAGGTTTAAAATGGAAGTCACAGGAGAATGGCCAATCTATAAATTCACCACGGAGTTTCTATTAACAGCGAAGAGACAAGACTTATGTTTCCATGTCAAAACAGACCTAACGCGCTGCATGCACCGCATATGTTGGGTCTCCTCACCTTTGTCGCATTGCGGTTTGCATAGTTGACGCAGGCATTGTGGCTCTGATTCAACCACTAAAGAGGAAACAAGAAGAGACAGGCATAAGCACAACTTCAAGAAAATAAAAAAAAAATAATCTAAATGTGGGAGTGCCACAGCACAGGAAAACTCATCTCCCTTTAGACCTGCTCACAACTTGCCACCTCTTTTCAAAGGCTCATGCAGGCCTCACATCTGATTTACTGCTCTTCAAATTGAGGGACAGAAATCCCAAGGCACTGGGTACCCAAAGGGCTTGACGTGCAGCTCTTCTCCTGGCCCAATTCACCTCCACACGACACCTCAGTGCTATTGGTCTTTATTTTCATCAGCACCAAATCCATACTGCTGTTAAGTCGCAGCACTAAGCCCAGCAGCCATTTTGCCAGTCACTTATTAAGCTCCATGGTTCTCAAACAGAGGGTCATGGGAGGTTTCAGCTGAGGAACAGGAGATGAACAGTTGTACCATCTTATGTAAATTGTTGTCACTAAACTAGCCTTTCTGTTCACAACTTTTTGGAGCAGGATTTGTCACCAAACAGCATGGCAGTAGCTGAGGATGAGTAGCACCACACTCCTGAAGGGGTTTTACCCACAGCAACTGCTGGCAATGTAAAGAAAATTAATAGTTTTCATCCCCGAAACACCATGTTCGCAGATCAGAGCATGTCAGAACTGAACTCCTCTCCAGCTGTGGCCAGAATTAAGATGGAGGAGGAGGAGGAACAAAGTGAGGGTAAGGAGATAGAGGGAAATGAGGCATTGAAACACAGGGATCAGCCCTGTCATTGCCAAGTTCATGGTCTAAGAGCACGTTTTTCCTGCTTACCAGCTCTCTAGCCTGGAACTTTGGATCTACCTAACCCTGCTTTTTTGTTTTCTTTAAATAGTAATTTTTTAAAAAATTTAAAAAGTCCACTTGCCAATACATGCTGGAAATCCACCTCAATTTTCCAGATGTGGTTTGTTTGTTTGTTTGTTTGTTTAACTCCCATACAGCTCTCATCTACAGAAGTAGGTCCCAGGACCAGGCTACAGCCACCCTGAGACATGTACATTTTGGGCATCATCAACAACTGCTTCACTGTACAAGCCTGCTCCTAAGGACTCAGTGTTTGTTAATTTAGTAATATGCATCATCCCTAAATCCTGTGCTATTTACCCAGATAAATCTTCTTTTCAGAGAGGTGTAGACATACTCCTCAGGTATTGTCTTAAATCTGGAGTTTAAGCTGTCTCTAGATTGAAAATATTGCCACTACCTGTTTCTTTAATCCATTGTCTTCCCAGGTGGCCACTTGACACCCTCCCAAGTTTTTTTGGATGTTGCCTCTTTAGGTTGCTGCTACTCCTACTTGTATTTTTCAGAAAGGAGTGACCCATGTATGCCCATCAGCAGGAATCATGGAGGAAAGAGTCTGAGAAACTTGGCAAGTGGTGGTGGCCCAGGGGGGCTTCGGTTGCTGGAATTGCCTGCTGCAACCTCCCTCTCGAGTGGGCTCATTCCAGTTCTGTGTTTGAAATGTTCTTTCTAGTTTCAAAGTATTATTCCATCCTTTCAAAGCCAAAAGTTTCTCCCAGCTACACTGTGATGGTGTGAATAGGAGCTCCTCAGGAAAGCCATTTACAAGGCACCCAGCCCAAGCCAGCTATCCAGGCTGGCTCGCTCCTCACTTGCGCAAGAGCAACTTCTCCAAAAGCCAACTCTTTATATCTTAGATGTCTAAAAACAGGTGAGACAAGTTGCTTTCAAAAATATGAATGAGTCTAGATGTCTCCAACCAATATCCCACTCCCAGCAGGTAAAGCCACATGGCACAATTTAAACCTAAATACACCAAACTACAAGTTACTGGCACATACCAATATATTCTCAGTTCTGCAGTCTTTCTAACATCCTAGACAGATCCCATTCTGCTTTGATATTTCTTAACCGCATAATTCTCTATCATCACTTACACTATAGACAATAAAAAGACATTCACAACTAAAAATAAGTCTGAAAGTAACTTGGTTTTGCATTTCAGTTAGCGCTGAAATTATACTTAAGGGGCGTGTTTACTATGGATAAAACTCATTCACATGCACGCTTCCTCCCGTAACTCTTAATTCCCAGAATTTTAATGGGAAATAACACCAATACCTCCCTACACACACACACTTTTTTTCCCCCCAAAGTCCCTGTAGCGCATTGAATGCAGAGGCCTTGCCTTTGTAATGCACAGCTATTCCCAAAATTCCTGGGCACGGGATGCCTCAGCCCTGCACACACATGGCACTTCAATGGGAACTCCCCAAGGAAGATCCCAACTACTTGACAAGGTGTCTTCAAAACAGCAGATGTGTGAGCTTAAGGGCCTACATTTTCATAGAAGTACACACTGTGCAATCATTTACACCTGTACAAAATGGGTCCAAAAGGTTGATTTTTGAGATCCTGAGCAATTTTGCATCTCCATTGAGATGGCATAAATAGCCAGGCGCTGGAAAGTGGATCCAATAGTTTGCTTATAGCCCCTTCCAGACCTACCAAACCTTTCCCTAATTATATCCAGCCACATCAGCGCCCCATTAACTAAAGCTTTGCCACTGCAGAAAGGCCACATGCATCAGTTTGTCCTCTAGACACAAGTCAGCTGCTGCTTTCCTTTTCATCACATTCCCCACCCATTCTGACAAGTGTTACCTGCCAAAACACAGTGGATGCCAGCGTCTGGTTGGGCAAGAGAAGACCAACAACCTGCAAGAGAAGAGATTTTCTTATTAGTAAACACTTTGCTAGTTTGTTTTTGGTGCTCTTCTAGGCATGCAAACAGCAAACTAAGAAAAAAGTTGACTTGAATAAATTATCTTCATATACGGCTTTATTTCGCTATAGTTATTGAACTTCCCTTCAGCCTATTGTCTCTTCATTTTCCAGTGATGAAACTGGGTAATGTAGCTGCCCGTGAAAAATTTGCATCTTTAATGATTGCTTGCAACACACCTTGCAAAAAGTCTGGCAGCAGATACTGCCCAACGATTAGTTCATTAAAATATAATCAATTCTTTACTCCAGGTACTTCTGGAGGGTAACACAAACATTGCATGAATGCAAGAGTTCAAAGTTGTTGCTACTGGCAGTGAAGGGGGTTTTTCTTATTTTCCTTTGGCACATTCACTGTTTCAAGCACAAGAAAGAAATCCCATTTGAACATCTGAAGACAGGAGTGCCACCTGGAAGCACATGTGCTCCTGTTTGGGAGCCTGAATTTTGTTTTAAGAGAAAAGAATTGTTGATGTGTCATACTCTGAGCTGCGAAAACTCTTGCTTGGGTTATGAGCTCAGGCAGACGATCGCTGTCTCCCAGAGGCTTACAGCTGCCTGTCTCAGCACATACAGGAGAGACATGCCCACTGCTGTGG